CTGTGATGCCGTATAACAGAGACATTTCCTCTTTAACATTGAATAAGCTCCCTTTCATTTTTTGGAATGGTGCTTAAAAATCCAAGTTTTACATTTCTTTAAAAAAAAAAACAAACAAAAAAAACAAGCCTCCAGCACTTCCCTTGACACATTTATTGTTTTCATCTGTTGTAGTAAAGAATACCACAAAATAGAATTTTTTAAATTGTTTGTATTTTTTTTCTCTCTGCTGAAATATAAGAGTAAGCCCTGAAGGTTAGCCTTAAAAAGTATTAAGACCTGTCCACCTTGGGAAAATTCAATAATTAAGAATTTTTTTTCTCTACATGAAGTAGATGTAAAGTAGTCTGTATTCACGCCCTCCCCCATCTGCTATAATTTCCAAAGACGCTGGTTTGCCCCCGAAGAAATGCATCTCACTACTTCACAGCCATACCTTCTATGGACCACTAGAGGCATTACTCCTTCTAGGAATTAGGGAAATACCTGGAAATAAGGAACAAACTTTATACACAAAAATTCCACCATAGCATCATTGTATATAGTAGCATAAATCGGAAACGACCTCCGTGCTAAATGACAGGCAGATATTTAGTACACCATGGAGTGTGCACGCCAAAGAATGTGTAGTCATTAAAAAAAGAGTATTTTTCATTACATGTACGGTATGATGTGTGGAAGCAGAGGGTCCAAACTTAGGCCTAGATAAGAGACAGAGGAAATACACCAGTATGGTTACAGTAGTTGTGTGTCTGTGGGTGATATACTCAGGGATTTTGTTGCTTAGTTTCTTCCTCCTCCTTTGGTATATTTCCTTAGCCTGTGTAATGAACATATCTGACTCTTAGATGAAAAGTTTTTCTTCTAATAAAAAATAAAAGACTTGGACTCGGCTAATTAAGAAAGACGTGCCACATACAGTATGCAAATGACTCTGTCACTTCCTCTCCCTTCGTTGATGGAGGTCCTTTGAGCACCTCTTGTGATTCTTGTCATCAGGAAACAGAGCCGTCGTAGAATTCTCAACTTGAGGTATTTGCTTTTACGCAGAGAGTACAGTGCTAGCTGTATAATGAGATACGTATCTTTTATATCTAACCCCCCCCCCCGTTGTTGAGAAAATCAAATGAGTTTAAACTCAACAATGTTAAACTGAAGGACTTATCAGGATCATGTGTTGGATTGTTTTCATTTCTACATTTTTCAAAGACAAAGGCATTCTTTGAAAATGTTCAAATAAGAGCAATGGTAACGTGAATTCTATTTTGCTCTGTTATTACCGTGTCCTTTGTTTTCTGAAACGATGTCGCCGCTCGCTGACTGTTTGGAACTATGGTTTTTTCTCCCTCAGAATTCTCTAGATTTACATGTTTTCTTCTCTTGCATGTCGTATTTGCACAATGGCCTTGGAGAGCCCTCAGTTTTAGTTAATCTCCTCATAGGATGGAGGCTGTGGTGTCAGCCCAGTAGCTCAGTTGATCCGCCCATCTCAGCACCAGGGAGGACGCTGTGAGGTTCAGTTTTCAGACGCAAGGCCATTGCCCTGGACGTTGGCTTCTTAGGCAACTGTTCGGCCACCCGCCGCCACCCCAAGAAAGCACCCGCCGGACCAGCCTCTACTCTTGCCTTCGTGGCTACAGAAGCGCAGTCTTACTGACACATGCAGAGTGTGTCACTTTTCCAGAGACCAGCCGGGATAGCAGTTTACTCCTTTGTCTTAAGAACGACAACTGTGCGGCAGGCCCGGCAGAGGTCAGCGGGCCGGGCCTTCCCTGTGTCCACGGGAGCACGAGTGTGGAGCCTACGAGGGAGGAAAGTGGTCTCCGGGCCGGATTCATAAGGGCCCCGGAGAAAGTCGAGAAAGCATCTTGATCCCACAACCACGAGTGGTGCTCTGATTACTAACAGAGTCAGGTCCTCTGTCTCCAGGACCCCTCGCGCCTTCGCTGCCCTGGCTCAGCTTCCGGTTCTGCCAGCTCCGGTTGTCCAGTGCCGAGGGACAGCCACACTGTGTGCATCGTTCCATCCTCGCCTCTCCTGGGCTGGACGTTCTGCCTTTGGGGTGCGGACTGGTTGTCGCTTATGATACGTGAACTTTTTTACTGATGGGCTGAGTGGGAAGTACCCAAAGGAGGTTTGCTGTTTCCCAGAATCATGAGCCTGTACCTATTTGTACTTTTTATAAATTCTCAGAAGAGCTTCCATCGGGTTGTGAGTGACTGGTTATATTTAATGTGGGCAAATCCTGTAATTGTGTTTTAACACTGACCCAAAGCGGCAACGTACCCGAGGCTCTCCACGGGGCGTTGTGCCTGACAGTCCGTGCAGTGTGTCCAGGGCCGCCCCGCTCCTGTTAGAGGCGAAAACTAAGCCAGACTGGGTCATCAGGCTTACACCCTGACTGTCATCTGTACCTCTGCCTCTTCCATTTATGTTCTTCCTCACGTCTTTGCTTCGACACACACCCTCCATTCCTGGCCGTTGCTGCTCCTGCCGCCCTTGGCCGTGCATCCCACACGTGTTCCGTGCAGTCACGAACAGACACCCAGTACGTGGCTCTTAGGAGACAAAGGCCGCCCGCCTCTCCCGCTTTGAGTAGCGCTATAGTGCGATGATGTTGCTTCTTGGGAAGGTTACAGAGGCAACGAGAAGGGAATAGATGGGCAAGATGATTCCCCTCCCTGAAAGCAGTATGGCATAAGAAAGGTGCTTTGTTTTGCCACGTAGGAACCCGGATGGAAAACACACGTGGTTTGTGTTTGGTGTTTGCTTCATCTTCACCGTCGGTGACGTGCGTCCACGTTGTGTGGTACCCTCCTGGTAGCACACACGCTTTGCATGTCAGCATGAGAATATGATGTCTAGTCAATGACCTGATGGCGGGCAGGGCTGCCAGCAAAGTGCATGAGGGCCGCTGACCCGCGTGCAGTCAGGAGACGCTTCACGGCTTTCTGTGGCTTACTGTCATCACTGTGGTTTGCAGATGAAGCTGTTGCAAATGTGTCCATCATCCCGAGATGCCACGCACCCTAAAGATCTGTATCGTGTTTGATACGTGTGTCTCACAATGTCTCACAAGTACGGTGCTTTGCTTGTTTGTTTTAAACCAAAGAAGGGGGCTGTTGATGTTTTCATTACTCTTTCTATTTTACACCTTTCTATGAGGACCCCCTTGTGAGAAAGGAAGGCTGCCACTGCTAGAGATCCATCAGCAGACATGGACCACCGTGTTCCAGAAGTGTCAGCCTTTGAACTGGAGACGGTTCTGACCCTTTTCTCCCCTCAGTATTCCTCTTCTTGGGATTCGGCCTCTTGAATATGACTGTCTCAAGTTCACACAAGTGTTAGCTTTAGCATTCACAGAAGAATGTTAGAAGATGCAGCCGTTTGGGTGCTATCCTGTTCATAGGTCATCTCTTTGGCTGTTTTTGTTCCTAGTGAAGTACCTTGGTGGGAACATACTGTCCTCAGGAAACTGTAAGTTATCAGGGAAACGATCTTTGTGTTAGAGCATAATTGATTCAAAGTGTCACAAGCCATTTTACTGGGAGAAACATGTGCCTGTATTTTTTTGACTCATCAAATTTTTCTTTGGCTTTATGTGATAGAATCTTAGGTCAGTTGCTTCGGTTCTAAATGGGAGGTCATTGATGCTTTGTGATCCCTGCGGCCCCCAAAAGAAGCAAAAAAAATTTTTCAGCATTTAGTAAAGGATGACATTCATATCTAGCATTGAATAAGAAAATGTGTTTACAAGCCATTTTGCAGTCTAGACTGTTTTGGAACTGTCTCTAGGACTGTGCTGTGCACCCAGCACACGGGCAAGCAAAAAGCAAAGGATATAAGGGCCCTGGGCCCTGTGCCTTTGGATCTCAGGGGGTCGTTACAACTAGGAGCCATCATTTGCATATTGTTTGAGCCTGGGTGCGTGACTGGCCTGAGCTAGCCTCTCGGGCCAGCCATCACCCCCTTGCTAGAAAATTCTCTCTCTTTCTTCCAGAAGTACATAGAGGTAATTTTTTTTTTAGCATATTGGCAAACCTTACTCAGACCCTTAATAATCCTAACCTTGGTTTTCATCCATAGATGAAACCACAAAAATCAAAATAGAAACTTAAAATTGAACATAAGGTAAACCAAGGAAAGTATTTTTCAAAATTACTTCACGTAATTCTTTTGTGAAGATCGGCTCATTTTCCAGACAAAAATAGATGCTAGGAAAGGAAGCTGCTGGAGAAATACAGGGGAAACTTTTTTTTTATTAAATGTGGCAAACTGGATTTTCACATTTTGTGACGTATACTTCATTCTCTACAAATTCTCATGATTTATTCTTTATTCTCTTCATTAAAAAGATAAGATCGATTGATTTTGGCTTTTTTTAGAACTTGTAGAGTGAGACATGGTGTGATGTTTGTGCAAAGATTATTAAACTTTAAGTTCTTAATTTAGAAATTTTCCTTTGGGTCATTAGTAATACCTCACAAGTCTAATTTTTGTTATATACTTGGCCTTCATTAAAGCTATTTAAAACTCGTTCCAGATGGAGCAAATCTCTCCGAATAAGTCAATCTTAAAATAAATTTTTGTTGCTTTAAAAAAAAAAAAAGCCAATTAATGTCAAGGAATCTCACATTTCTATTTCTACAAGTTAAAATTTTTTATTCCCAAGTCTTAACTTAGGTATAAGCCAACTATTTTTGTTTATTTGCAGAGTATGTTGTGATTGTATTTAAACAACAAATACTTAGCTAAATTCATCAAATTAAGATTATGAACTAACTAAACAAAAAAGAAGCCAAGGGAACTTCCGAGCTCACCAAACTGGCAGAAACTACAAATCGGTTTTCTTTTTACAAGTTGGACGGTGCCAGGTATTATCCTCACTCGCTTATGAAGTAGAAGGGGTTTAATAAAGCGTAGTTGTATCTCCTCCGGGATCCGCTTGTTGGCACCTGCAGTTGCCGATAAACTCAGTGGTGATCCTTTCCTTTTCACAGTGCTCCAGCTGAGGCTCCAACAGAGGAGGACGAGAGAACAGCTGGTGGACCAGGGCATCATGCCACGTAAGATTTCAGTGTCACTGTCGCCTCCAGTGTGATGTAACAGAGCGCACCCGTCCGGGAAGAACCTGGACCGCACTCTGCTTTCCCTTGTGTCCACGCAGTCAGTATACGGCGTCCACGTGAGCTGATGCGGAAAACCGGGCAACAGCGCTGCCAGCCTAAGAGAATCCTCTCAAAGAACATTTTGAAAACCAGATGCACTGTAAAAGATGGGCTTGAATTAATTCTGTATTACACACAGAACACCTTGAAAACGGGGTAGTTAGGTTGAAATCAGTTCTCACTTCCAACATGAGCCCTCGTTTTAGTTTTGAAATCATCAGACTCCTCTCTGCCTAACAGGTCCAGTGTTACTTTGACTTGCGAAAGTAACGTGATGAAATTAACTTTAAAACTTGTTCTACTTTATTTAATTCAAGTTAATTATCCTTGGTACAGTACAGTCTGGTCTGTAATTAAGTGCATCTCGGTTACAGGATTAATACACATTCTGTTTATAATTAATAAAATCTTTCTTGCCCAAGTAGATAATTTGGAGGTATTTCGAGGCCTTCATTTTTTAGTTGATTAATTTTAGAATATTCGCCTGTTGCCTTCTTACCTTTGCTCACCAAGTTTGGAGGTAATTTCATGTTTTAGAGGTGGAAGAGTGGTTGCTTTGGTGTTATGATTGTTTATGTGGATATTTGTCTAAAAATTGATCTCTCGAAGAAGTAATTTATATGGCTTTAAAAGACTAAGAAGAAATTACAAAATGAATTTATGCGTCCCTACCTTTTTTTGGCTTATGAGAACAGTTGTTCTCTGCAGTAGACTTTTTTCCCAATAAAAATTTTCTGGACTACTATTAATTGAGTATCTAAATATTTTGAATCTTAGTATTATGATAGACTCAAAAGGTGGTTTGACGATCTGCCAGATTTCTCTACCACCTTGCCAATGATGAACCAATCAATTAAATAGTATCAGTGATATTTAAAACACCACTGCCAAGCCAGCTCTAGTCTGATTTTGGGAGCTGCTCCCTAGACAGAAACCTGTATGGGCTTGTCTCCTGGGAATCTTTGCAGTGCTTCAAGTACCAGAGCTGAAAATAATCCTACCCAGAGAGTCAAGTTTTAGAGGTGACGGCCCAAGTAAACCTAGCCCAAATCCTATGCACAGCGTCTGACTGCCTGTAGTTCTTACAGGTGGACATACACACAAAAGATTTTGCAAAGATAATTGATAGAAATACTGTAGTAAGTGATGTTTTAGTAAAACACTGCTTATCCTCCCTCTGGGATTCTGGAATATTTAAAGTACTAGTAGTTAACATATTAAAGAATCATTAGGTCTTTAGGGTGAGTTGCACTGTGGTACAATAGGAAGAGCATGACACCTTCTAATTCACAATGCTAGACTTAGATTCCACTTTGATCACAATTTAGCTATATGGCTTCGAGAATTTGGGTAACCACTTTGAGCCTTTCGTCTGTACTTGGCCTGATACCTACCTTGCGAGGTGGTGACGATCAGCCACGATATAACTGTGATTGACCACAGGGCGTAGGACTGTGTCCAATGTGGGGTCTCAGTGAATGGTAACTCAGCTCTGCTAGACAGAAAGTGTAGCATGTTCTCGTGTTCAAGGTTAGACCACTCGTAGGCTAAACGTCCTCTGGACATTTGGGCTTTTTCTGGTATCTTTTATGGCCACTAAGAGCAAAGACCCATCAAGGAGTCATCACACGGTTCCCTTGGTGATGGTAATTTGGCCCAACTGTTGGCTCCAAGTAGTCTGACCTGGTACTTGTATTGTCATTATGTGTACAACTCTATCCTCAATGTTCACTTGTTTTATTTGTGAATATATGATTTTAATTCTGAAACGTCTAAGGTTTCAAATTTTGCAGATCTCCTAAAGGAACTAGTAATAAATGGAACTGTAGATGCAAACTAGTGAGATTAAGAAGGAACATCAACATAATGTACCCTAACGTTTGGCTGAAATATTAACTCGTCTGTCTACATGGTTCTTATTCTTCTCACAGCTTTGAAGAGCCCAGCTGCATTCCATGAGCAGATAAAAAGCTTGGAACGAGCCAGAGTAAGAAATTTCAGTTTCAGAGGTTCTGCTTCTCTGCTTCTCTCTTGTATTTTAAAGTACCTGTGGGCAAGTAGCAATCTTACTCCTGAATATATCCATAGAGAAAATGCAGTGTATTTTCAGGACAGGTGGCTTCCAGAGTTATATATTCTGGGGTAGTTGAATCTTGGAAGTTTGTAGAAAATGCATGATGTTCCAATTTTGTTCTTTTAAAGCCAGTAGCTGGTTTTGTACATAAAGGACAAATCGCATTTCTTCATTTCAGTGCTGGGGCATACCAGCAGGTTTTAGAATAACCATGGAGTATTTCTGCCGCTTGTTACCCCAGCAGACCGACAGCCCAAGTGGTGTCCCGACAACCACACATCTTTAGGTGGTTTCCTTACTGGGTCTGCGTCCGCTGTACGTTTGACCAAGGGCAGGAGAATCTGACTGAATTAAAGAAGTTGCTGTGTTTCAACTCCACTCTATTCTTTGAGAGTTTTCCATGCCATTTGCACATCGAATTCATGTTCATTACTTTTGTTTAAAAGTACCATTATGCACATTCATTCTTTTTGCTTTAGGGAATACTTCTATCATGCAATATGAAAATAAGCATGTTCCAAAAATTCCGTAGGAATTTTCCCAGAAGGCGATAATGATCTCTTAGAATCTTGTAAAATATAAAACCCATTTGAAAGCCTTATTGTTTCAGTTGAGAACCTTTCTGAGTAAGAAAGTATGATCAAGGATATGAATTCATCAATGAAAACACATTAGGATTTTAAGGAAATTTGTTATTTAGGTGGATTTTTACTTGACCTGAAGTGTAGCTATTAGATATTTAAATGATCAAAATCCTATGTCTGTGCAAATTATGAGCCTTTTGCCTTTTCCAAGTTTTAAAATAAAAGTCTGTAAAGTGCTTACTTTATGCCAGCATGCATTTCAAGTGCCTGTGCAGTTTTGAAGGCTGCAGTTTAAATTATGTATTGGATAATAGCTCTTCAAAGTACTAATTGCTACTCTTTTCTTCTCAAAATCATGACCAAAGAGTATACAATTTATTTAAATGGAGTACCTTGAGAGAAAAATGCAAAACCACAATAAGTCATAAACAATTTATAGTAAGACTCACTCTCTTCTCTCTCTTTCTCTCTTTCTCTGTCTCTCTCTCTCTCTCTCTCTCTCTCTCTCTCTCTCTCTCTCTCAAGACTGAAAACTTTTTGAAGCATAAGATTCGGAGCCGACCAGATCGTTCTGAACTTGTCAGGATGCACATTTTAGAAGGTAAAAATGTTTATTTCTGCTTATTTTGCTGCATTTTCTCAAGAAAAGAAGTGAGAATTCCACCATTGCTGTTTATTCCCATCTTAATAACTTTTTACCCCACAGGCTGACATCCTCCAAATTGGATAGCCAACATGAAGACCCAAAGCTAAAATGTTATGTTAGATACATGGGGAAGGTTTGATTCTCCAAATAACCAATTGATGAACTGACTCTGCCCCACCAACTGGTGCTTTAGATGTCTCTACCATCTGTTCTGGAAAAACATTTTTGGTCCAGGGGATTTCTTCATCAGTGAGGAATATTTTCCCATTAAGTCATAAAGGGTACAGTGGCCACAAGTGTAACCCTAGATTTTCACCTATCTGGATGGACCCTGTTATATCTACCTGGTGCACTGCCCACACCTAACATCTTTTGTTTGTCATTACGTACCCACAACAGTCCAGCTTGATCTGACCATTAATATAAATACTCTCCACTTAGCCCACCGGATTTCCTCAGTGGTCTAGCTTCATCACTTGTGAAGCTGGTAGGGACAGTTCTGTTCTGTCTCTAGTGAGACACATGACTCAGACCAGAATGTTTTTCTGTCTAAAGACAGAGCATTCTTGAAAGTATCCCCCCCCCCCATAAGCTCCTGAGTACGTTTTCTTTCATTGTTTTGTTCCTCAGACTGATTTATTAAGCAAGGACTAGGAGCTTGACCCGTGATAGTCTTGAGTGTGTTAAACCCTGAGATGATACAGAAAGAATCTGGAAATTTCTCACAAAGATTCAGAGACTCTTCTCAAGTAGGAATATTATATTTATTCCTCTGGTCTAATGATAGAGTTAGTATTAGAATTAGGTTGATATTACAAAGTATTAGATTGGCGCTCATCATAAGGAGTAATATCCTGAAGGTCAGACATGTTTAAAACTGTCCCAGAAGCAATAAGGTTATGCTCATTTGAGGCGGTCATTCATTGGCCAGTGAACTAGACCCCAGAGACCCAGCAAATGAGCCAGATCCATGCCTGCTTTCATGAAGCTTACAATCTAGTAGCAGAGACAGATAATAAACAGGCAAAACAAATGAATTACAGATTGTGAAAAGGGCTCGATGGCAGTAAACAGGCTGTTGTGGTGGGGACGAAGCACAGGATGACACCACAGTAGGATGTTGTAAACAAATTCCAAGTAGCAAGTCGGTATCTTCATCCCCAAGTAGGGTCTCTTCTAATCCAAAGAATCTATGATTATGTGACTATCTCCATATCTGGGGTGGGAAGTGACGGGTATATGCCTTCCACTACTCTTAGTGTGTTCTCAGAAGTCCATTGGGCTAAAAAAGCTTTTCCAGAACTCAAGTGGTAGGGTAGAAACAGCTACCAAAAAATGTCAGGGTTAAGTGAATCTTCAAGAAGCAATTGTGGTGGTAAGTAACTGGGGACGGGGCTCCTTCCGCACCTAAAAATACCTCGACCTATAAAGGACATTTTTGAAGGAACAATGCTGTCTGTTTCAACTTGCCTTCTAACAGGCTTTATTAATATAATTAAAACCAAAGCAAATACATTTAACTATCAAAAAGAATCATATTTGCTTTAAAAAAAGAAGAAGAAGAAGAAGAAGAAGAAGAAGAAGAAGAAGAAGAAGAAGAAGAAGAAGAA